GAAACGTCAGCCTTCCTGCTCCTCTGATGCTGCTTGGCCTGCTGTGCTCATCTAGCTCTACACCTTGTTATCTCAGCATCATAACTATGTCATTATTCCTGTATCCATGATCTGTATAAAAGCATTATGCCAAATTCCCTACATGAGACAGTTTCTTAAATCCCATTTTCAGTCATTTAAATGACCTGACTCAAACAATTTCAAAGCAATCACTCACAAAATATAAAATATAAATATAAATGTTCTCAGCATTACTCTGAACAGAACTCTCAACAGAAATTATTACAGTGATTGCACAAACATTGTAAAAAAAATTGTATAAACAGTGATTGAAAACATTGTGCAAGCATGCCTGATGTGCCAGCTCATGTGCAATTATTGAAGATATGGCTAATCTTTCAGATAATTCCTTCTTTGGATCAGATAACAATGAATTCTTTCGGAATAGCAGCAGACCCCAATTTTCCATTGCCTCTGCTCCGTAGTGAGGCAAAGCTACAATATCTGAAAGGATAGAAACAGAGTGAGTCAATTGTAATGCAAACTCATGTATCAGCTTATAGCACACAATTGCCTGACATTTGGTTAGTGACATATCCGCATTAGAGGTGTGGTGCAAATTTCACCATTCTGCTAACAGAGTTTGTGTTGCCAATGCCAAGATGGCCAGGAAAGAAAGCTTCAACAGCATGTGCAGATGGCACAATGATGTCAACACTGCCACGGCCACCAACCCCAGCTGTCCCAGTGGCCATCCCTCTGGCTGCTGGGCACTCCCTCCCTCACTGCTGGCACATCCCTTGCTGCACAGCCTTCTATTTCACTCAGGGAGTGACATAAAGAGTGAGGTGGTGTGTGTGGCGCAAGGGGTGTCTTTTTGAGCATGCCTATGAGTCAACAGTTTGCTAATTCCTCGCTCTTGCATGGATGCTTTAACAGGGTTTTATATATTATTATATACATTACATGTTTAATAAAACCACAAACTAACGAGTCAATTCCACCATATGACCTGTAATTGATTTCAGCTCAATGAGGAGTTTAACTGCAAAGCTATGTTTCCACATGTGCACGGTCACTGCATTGGCCACAAACACAGCTTTCTGGTAAAAGGTGCAAAAAGACAGCTGCTGGGGCTGCATCTGAAATATGCTTTAGGCCCTTTGATATACAAATAAGGAGACAAAAAGTTGAGGTCTTCTTCACAAATCTGGCCTGTCCTGAACTCGGCTGGCCTGGGTGTGCTCCATTCAGGAATATGTTCTCCATACAGTCTATTGTGCAGGAATACAATCTCCGTATAGTGTATCCAGTGCAGGCTTCTACCAAAGGTGCATTTTAAAAATTGCTGACTTGAATGTGGAGCTAGGAGGAGTAAGTTTTTCTCTCAAGCTTACTCTGGTGCCGAAGACTACTGTCAGTTCAACCTTTGCTCTGTCCTTCCTAATGCATCTCACTCTCCTAATCACTCTCCTTCAATATTGGGATAACTAGTCTTACATATAGACCGTTTCCTTCTGCCCAGTTCATACTAGCAAAGCAATTTCTAGGTAAATTACTTCAAACATGCAGCAGGATCAAACAATGAGTATAAGGAATAAGGGATATTCTAAAGGAGATATTTCAAATAAAAGGGAGAGAAATAATTTCATTCAAAGTCAATAAAAGTTGGGAGAATTAGAAAACAAGTAGCTGATTTGCTAATGACTGTTTTTACATGATTGCCTGAAGTCAAAATTATCCCTTCCTCAGATATTGTGGGATAGGAATCATATCATCAACCTTACTGGGTAGGAGTTGCAGATAGTTTCCCTGAAGGACATTAATGATTTTTTTTCTTTGTTCATTCACAGAGGAGGGCGTCGCTGGCTAGGTAGCATTTATTGCCCAACCCTAATAGCCCAGAGGGCAATTAAGAGTCAATCACATTGCTGTGGGTCTGGAGTCACATGTAGGCCAGACCAGGTAAGGATGGCAGTTTCCTTCCCTAAAGGACATTAGTGAACCAGATGGGTTTTTCCGATAATCGACAATGGATTCATGGTCATCATTAGATTCTTAATTCCAGATATTTTATTGAATTCAAATTCCACCATCTGCCGTGGCAGGTTTCAAACCCAGATGCCCAGAACATTGTCTGGGTCTCTAGATTAACAGTCCAGCGATAATACCACTAGGTCATCGCCTCCCCTCAAGTACATAGTTTCTGGCAATCCAGCAGTTTTTGTTGGCTAGGCCACAAATTGTTAGATTTATTTAGTTCGATTTCCCAAATTGCTGTTGTATGATTTGAACTCCAGAGCAGTGCCCTAAATGGTGCCTTCTAAAAGAAATGTACGAAAATGCTGGTTGGTTTTACCTGCTGCCATTTTAACCTCATCAATTCAGGTAAATAGCAGCCTCATCAACAAGAAGAAAGTGGGGCCTGTTGAAATAATTTTGACCTCACTGTAACTTTAAAAGAAAATTGGGCAAATTGCACATAGCCCTAGAGATATATCCTAAAACTACCCCCCGAAATTCTGTTTCCAACACTTACTTTCAAATTAAAGCATACAGCTTCCAATGAGAGTTGGATTTGATTGAATTGAATGTGACCTAGGCAATAGAATAGTGCAAATAGTACACTTTACATAGAAACTTGGAATACTGAAGTAATTTTGTTTCTAAGATAGACACATTGAAAGGTAGAAGGCAATTTAACTTATGGTGCAGTTGGTCTTAATCTGCATAATGCAATAAGATTCTACAAATAAGTAGCTTACCTAATTTGGGGAGAGGATAAGTCACATCATAATACTTTTCAAAGTATGCGAGTATTGGGCCTGTAATATTTAATGCATATTCAGCTTCACCATTTGATATGGCTGTTTTATCTGCCCACACACGAATCTGAAAATAAAGTTGAATTTAGAACACAGCGTTTGCAATATCTTTTGGTTCCATCATAAAATCAACACCATTGTCTTGCTACAGTTTATGTATTGCTTTGTTGTCTCCAGTAACTGTACAGTTCTCACATTTCCTACATTACAGCAGGGACTACACTTCAAAATTACTTAATTGGCTGTAAATCATTCGGACATTCTGAAGTTGTAAAGACGCTGCACAGATTATTCAACACAAGTATTGTCTGCTGGTGTTTGTATTACACACAAATCTCCACACCTTCCACATGCTTCACCTCGGCTTGCAGCACACTGCAATTTGAAAGGGTCTAAACCAGCTGCCTGAACACTCTTAGTGATAATGGATGCTGCATTCTGATAACTCCGAGTCAAGAAATTCCTCCTTATTGCCCTATTGGATATAACTAGTTTGCTTTTAAGCCTTTAGCTTTTCGACATTTCAACAAATAGAAACGTTCTTGTCACTGTTGTAAGAAGTAATAGTTTTGAAAGAGTAAGTGTTCATGTTACATTTGCTCCAACTGCTCTACTGATGTCACACACAGTCTGTGGGTGGAGACAAGGAGTTCCACTCCAGCTGTCAGAGGGAGTATTTGTATCAGTACCAGTTCCACCAGGCTTCGTAATTATGCCTGATCAAACACATTTGTACTTATTTCCATCATGCAATAAACTTTCTTGATATCTAACAACAGTGCCTCTTCTCTAGACATTCTATGGTGATGGTTGCTCTACAACAAATCATTAGGAGTCCTCAAGTCAAGCAAAAGATGATTGATGGTACCGAACTACCTCAAACAACCCTTATCCAGTACCACATATTGACAGAGATGGCAAATGCCACAGTCGCATTTACCTTGCCCAACATAAGGTCGGACTTTTTTCATTGGAGCATAGGAGATTGAGGGTTTACCTTGTAGGGGTTTATAAAATCATGAGGGGTATTTATAAGGTGAATGGCAGGTGTCTTTTCCCTAGGTTGGGGGATTTCAGGACTAGAGGGCATAGTTTTAAGGTGAGAGGAGAAAGATTTAAAAAGACACAAGGGGCAATTTGTTTACATGGTGAATGGTTTGTTTGTGGAATGAACTTCCAGAGGAAGTGGTGGACATGGGTACAGTTACAACATTTAAAGACATTTGGATAAATACATAAATACGAAATATTTGGGTCTGTTTCCCTGCTGTACATTCAGAAGTTTAACAACTTCAATCAGATCACCTCTGAGCCTTCTCTATTCGAAAGAAAAGATTCTCAACTCTCATCAAACTTTCTCAAAAGCTGAAATCTCTCAGTTCCTTGCAAATGTCTTTTTGTACACTTTAGTCCTTTCTCATAAAAGAAAAAATTGGCTTTTTTTAATCACACCTTTTGTGACCGCAGGTTATCTCAAACACTTAACAGTCAAGTAAATACTGTTTAAGTACTATGATAGTTATAATGTAGGGAATGTAACAGTTGATTTGTGCGTAGCAAAGTTTCACAAATGTGATGATAAACAGATAATTTGGCTTGACGATGTTGATTGAAGGATTGACACTGGCCAGATTGTCAGTGACTTCAAATTTGCATCCTGGAATCTTCAATGCCCACTTGAGAGGACAGATGGAGACTTGATTTAATGCAGCATGTAAAAAATGGTACCTCCAACAACGTTGCATTTCCTCATTGCTGCAGTGGGTTATCAATGAGATCTTCATGCTGAATCTCTGGAATACTTTCTACAATATGGAGAGCAGACTATACATAATTCTCTCAGTGTGGCCTGACCATGTTCCTGTGCGAGTTTAATGTACTAACTTACTTTGATTTCCACACCTCAAGAACTAATCCTGATGCCATCAGAATTTTTATGTAGCTGATATTTGATGCTGACTTCAATTTGCTTAATTAGCCACCCTGATCCTTTTACCACTATTGCATTCAGTGTTATATTTTTAAGGTGTAGCTGATCTTTTTAATTGTTTCTACCAAATTGCATGACTTAAGATTTATCTATATGAAGGATTACTTGCACTTAACAGTCATGATACAAGGATTTTAATATTAAGTTGGATGTTTTTTCCATCAATGCTAGCTGTGCCCACAATCTGATATCATTAGTAAATGCTGATATTGAGTTACTTTTCCTCAATTCAAATCATTAGTGCAAAGCACAATGGTCACTGATCCTTGGTAGAAGGATACTTTCCATCTTCCTCCAATTTGAATAATTATCTTTTACAACTAGTTAGAGCTCAACACTGCCTTCTCCAGGTCAATTAGATCTGGTCAACGAATGCTATCCTAGTCAGTGTTATCCAAATCCCATAACAATTTAAAACACTAAGGAAAAATCTCTCTGCTTTCCAATTTCAGCCACAGTTCAATTACTTATTTCCTGACTCCAATGCTCTAACCTTTATTAAACCCATTTTCTTTCTTATTTCTTAAGTTTTTCTCAAAATGACTTCTATGTAAGAGCTGCTGGACTAGTTCAGAAACAAATCTTTTCATTAAGTGTTGCTGAAAAAATACTTTTCGGAATGCATCAGGACAATCTAGAAGAATATCAATGCAAGCAAAAACCAACATTTATACTGTATGGGAGGAGAGTGCTGATAGGTTGGCAAGTGGATTGTCAGAGATATTGCCATAGAGAACATACCAGTTAACAATGACTAACAATTAGTTTGATTTCTCAGGGCAATGCCTTGACCAATGAATCAGCAAATGGCTGCGTATCTGTTTTGTTAAGTTGAAACAGGGGCAGTGTGTGCATATAAGATAACAAGGTGTAGAGCTGAATGAACACGGCAGGCCAGGCAGCATCAGAGGAGCAGGAAAGCTGATGTTTCGGGTCTGGACCCTTCTTCAGAAATGGGGGAGGGGAAGGGGATTCTGAAATAAATAGAGAGAGAGGGACAGGCAATGATGGAAGGTCGATAAAAGAGCAGATAGGTGGAGAGGAGATGGACAGGTCAAGGAGGTGGGGATGGAGCCGGTAAAGGTGAATGTAGATGGGGAGTTAGGGTGGGGGTTGGTCAGTCGAGAGAAGAATGACAGGTTAAGGAAGCAGGGATGAGGCTAGTAGGTAGGAGGTGGGGGTGGGGGTTGTTCAGTGAGGTGGGAAGAGCGGATAGGTGGGAGAAAGGATGGACAGGTTAGGGAGGCGGGGACGAGCTGGGCTAGTTTTGGGATGAGGTCAGGGGTGGGGAGATTTTGAAGCTTGTGAACTCCACATTGAGACCATTGGGCTGCAGGGTTCCCAAGCGAAATATGAGGTGCTGTTCCTGCAGCCTTCGGGTGGCATCGTTGTGGCACTGGAGGAGGCCCAGCATGGACATGTCGTCCAAGGAGTGGGAGTGGGAGTTGAAGTGGTTCGCGATTGGGAGGTTATCTCAGATTCTCCAGCATTGGCAGCTCCTACTATCTCTCAGTGTGTGCATACGTTCATTTTGTTATCGCTGACAGTAAATGCTGCCCAATTGCAGAAGTACATCGAACATTGGCACTGAGTTGTGAATCTTGCAAGCAGGAGCTAGTTGTGTACGGTCAGTAGGTTGCTTGTTGTGAACAAGCAACTATCGATGGGATAGGATGTTTGATTCAGTGCTCCAAACTTTGTGACGTACTACCTACATACATGGTATCACACAAACACTGAAACTCATATCACATCACTCATTAATGGAAGGCAGAAAATCTTTTGGCCTGATGGTAATATCCTGTTAGTGGCAAAAATCACTAATATTGCTACTGCATAACCGCCTTCACCTTTCAAAATATCTTACTATTGTATTTATTTTTAACTTGAATTAAATATGAAATAATTAATCTAGTAGAGATAACATTTCTAAAGGAAATTGTATGCATAAAGCTCATACAAATAATAAAGAATAAGAACATTGATAGTTACCTCTATGTCATTATAAGTTGTGTTAATGTAATCATAGTCAAAAATAACAAAAGCAGTTGTATAGGTAGACATCTTCACAGTGGTGTTAAATGTTGTAACTTTCCATTTACCATCCTCGTCCAGTCTTTCAGAAACATCTAAAAATTCAAAACATTCAACTTAAGTAGTTTCCCATTGCATTTTCACCACTGCAGAACCTTGCATTACACAGACTCATCTGTTCGTACTCATGTCTTTTTGCTGACAGAAATAATACTTCTTTCAAAGAAATACCTGACTTTGCAGCAGGTGTATTGGGAATGGGATATTGTGATTTTTCTGAAGCATTCACAGTTGCTTAATCCAAAGCAGAAGTACACTGATGGCAAATAAGCCAGTATTATAATGATTGATGTGAACTCACACACCAGATGCTGATACCTGAGAGAGAGAAGATGTGGGTAGGTGAAGATGAAGAGTTAAAGATAATTCCAGCAACAATGAGCATGTTCCAGATTTACCAGTTTACTAAATAAGGCCTTGGGCTGAAGCTTGAAGTCCTGCCAGTAGACACTTACAGAATGTGACTTATACAACAACAGGGATAATGCAAATGTCACCATGATCACAAGATGGTTGAAAATTGCAAATGCATGCTCGATAGGAAAAAACGCTAGGAATTAGGCTGCAGATGATCTTATAAGGAAAAATAACCAACTGGAGAGAAAAGAAAAACAAATCAGTTTACTATGGAGAAGGAGTTTCTTTATTTTATTAACATAATGAGCAGAACATATGGTTACATTTAATTGTGCTGTCTGCAGCTAATATTTTACTTGGAATTTGTTTTTGTGCTGAAGTAAAATTATTATAATTTGAACCACTGACTCATTTTGTTACCATTCAAGTGCAGAACACAAGATTTTTCAATAATAACAGGGATCTTTGTACAATGTACTGGGCACACTATGCCTTTCCATGGTTTTTAATTGCATCTGTTTTATTTGTGAAATGAAAACCATTGGAACAACTGAACAACTGGGCTGGCAGCAATCAGCTCACACACAGAAACTGGCACGCTACTCTTACATCATACTCAAGAATAGTGAAATGTATTCTTGAAATAATATTTCAACATTAATGAGGAAACTTTAATTCCTGTCTTATGTTTTATTGTGCTATCATTAATCTGGTCACTAAGGTTTATGATATCTGATGAGGCATACACTAGTCTCCTATAGTGAGTTTTCATGCACCCATATTTGGTGGTAGGCACAGAATAGCAGAAGGTACAGCATACTGTAAATGGCAGTAAGTCACCCATTTGAACATCATTGAAACCTAATGAAGGTCCCCTGACTCCAACGTACTGATGGCAAACACAGAATGCTGGAGAAACTCCAGCAATTAGGTTTGGCGATCGCTATAGAGAGAAATAGAGTTAATGTGTCAAGTCCAGTATGACTCTCCTTTAGAACTGAAAGGTGTTGGGAGTTTTTAAAATATATTTTTGATAGGCATGGAGGAGGAATAAGAGTTCCCTATGTACACCCTTCTGATCTGCTTTCATCTCTGTCAAAAGTAGAAAAACAAATTTCAACCTTTCAGTTCTGAAGAACAGTCATACTGGACTTCAAATGTTAATTGTTCCTTTCTCTAGATTCTGTCAAACCTATAGTTTCTTTAGCATTCTCTGTGTTTGGTTCAGATTTGGTCTATAATCTTCAAGCAAGAACATCATAGGACTGCTCAAAACTCAAAGTAAAACTAAGAAAAATCTCTTGTTTGACTTATGGGTGCTTCACTTAAGTTAAAAAACCTCTCCTGATCTTATAAATTGGAACTTGCTTATTTTGTTCAGTTGTGAAGACCTACCAAAGTATACAAAAAAACCCCCATTAATTCTAAAGCAAGACAACCAAAACTGTTTTAAAAGAAATTACCATGGCTACAAATACAATTAGTCCTCATTATCCACTTACTTACTACCAGCAGATTGGCATAATTATGAAGTCAGCCCAAGACTTCACCTTGAATTTTTACCATTGTCTCATCCAGTCTACCTTGCATGGTTCCACACAATACATGGGAGAGTGTCATAGGAGTGGTATTTGTGTGTTTTGTTACCTGCGGGAAGCTTGTGTCCCTATCCCTCATGGATAACAAGGATTGAGTGTAAGTACAAGTTTAAACACATAGAAAAACCCATGTGCCTGCCTAATCCAGAATCCAAGAACCCAAGCTTGCAATGGAGACATGAAATGACAGTCATACAGCATGGAAACAAACCCTTTGACTATAGGAGTTGGGACATCATGTTGAGGTTGTACAGGACGTTGGTGAGGCTTCTTCTGGAGTACTGTGTGCAGTTCTAGTAACTGTGTTATAGGAAGGATATTATTAAAGTGGAGAGTGGTTAGAAAAGATATACCAGGATGTTGCTTGGAATAGAAAGTTTGAGATATAAAAATAGACTGGAAAGACTGGGACTTTTTTCACTGGAGCATGGGAGGTTGAGGAATGACCTTATTAAGGTTTATAAAATCATGAGGGGCATTGATAAGATGAATGACAAGAGTCTTTTCCTTAGGACGGGGGAGTTCAAAACTAAGGGGCATACTTTTATGGTGAGACGAGACAGATTTAAAAAGGACATGTGAGGCAACTTTTTTACACAGAAGGTGGTTCATGTGTGAAAATGAACTGCTAGAGAAATTGATGGGTGCAGATAAAGTTGCAACATTTAAAAGACATTTGGAGAAGTTCATGAATAGGAAAGGTTTAGAGGGATATGGGCCAAATGCAGGCAAGTGGGACTAGTTTAGTTTGGGAACATGGTCGTCATGGACTGTTTGGACTGGAGGGTCTGTTTCCATGCTCTATGATTCTATGACTCTATAACCAGTTCATGCTGACCAGGCATCCTAACTGAAGTAGTCTCATTTGCCTGTGTTTGGCCCATATCCCTCTAAATCTCTGCTTTTCATATACCTGTCCAAATGTCTTTTAAATGTTGTAATTGCACCTGCCCCTACCACTTCCTCTGGCAGCTCATTCCTGCCACAAACCACCCTCTGTGTGCAAAAGTTACTCTCAGGTCCCTTTTAAATATTTCCCAATGCCCTCTAGTTTTGGACCCCCCTATCCTGGGAAAAATACCTATGCTTTCACCTTCTCTATGCCTCTCATGATTTTATACACCTCTACAAGGCCATCCCTCAACCTCTGAGGGTCCAGGGTAAAAAGTCTCACCCTCTCCTTATAACTCAAACCCTCCAGTTTTGGTAAATATTTTCCGTACCCTTTTAAGATTTAACAACATCCCTCCTATAACAAGACGACCAGAATTGTACGGAATATTCTAAAAGTGGTGTCATCAACGTCTGGTACAACTGCAACATGACATCCCAACTCCTATACTCAATGCTCTGACAAATAAAGGTAAACATGTCAAACGCCTTCTTCACCACCCAATTAAACTGTGATTCCACTTTCAAGGAACTATGAACCTGCACCCATTGATCCCTCTCTTCAACAACATTCCCCAGGGCCCTATTATTAGCTATGTAACTACTGCCCTGGTTTGCCTTACCAAAATGCGACACCTCACATTTATCTAAATTAAACTCCATCTGCTACTTCTCGGTCCATTGGCCCATCTGATCAAGATCTCGTTGCACTCTTAGATAGCCTTCCTCACAGTTCACTATACCACCAATTTTGGTGTCATCTGCAAACTTAAACAGATTATGTTTTAAAAGTATATAAGTCACACAGTTTACAATAAACACAATGGACGAAATGGCCTCTTTCTCTGGTATGACTATTCCATGATTCTCTGGTTCTGAAATTTAGTGATACAGGGGAAGAGTGCTATGAGGAAAAATGGGAATGGCTCATACATACTATTAACTCAATTGTAATAATAAAGAAGATTTGCTTACTTCATCTCTATTCTTGGAGATGATCTTAATTCAGGAATAGATGTATTTATTTTGTGAAATTATTCATGTAGTTTATAAGTCCTGGCATTGTCATGTAGGGGCAAAGTGGTCTGATGTATGGCAAAGTTCTGGGATGGGTACTGCATTGAAAGGATTTACATTTATAAGAAAGCAAGAAAGGAGAATCAATAACAGTGGTTACAAAGGTAGATTGTTTTGCTGATGAGAATGCTTAATTCAATTATTGAATTCTGGTGCTCCTTGTAATCATTAACAAAGAGTCTTCCAATTGGCAAGACTCAGAATGATCCATAGGGTGGCAAAGTGGGTCAGTGGTTAGCACTGCTACCTCACAGCACCAGGGACCTGGGTTTGATTCCAGCCTTGGGTGAATGTCTGTGTGGAGTTTTCATATTCTCACTGTGTCTATGTGGGTTTCCTCCAGGAGCTGCAGTTTCCTCCCACAGTCCAAAGATGTGCAGGTTAGGTGGATTGGCCATAGTAAATTGTCTGTAGTGTCCAGGACTGTGCAGGCTGAGAGGATTAACCATGGGAAATGCAGGGTTACTGGGATGGGGTAGGGGGTGGGTCTAGGTGGGATGCTCTTCGGAAGGCCAATGTGGATTCAATGAGCCACATGGCCTGCTTCCACGCTGTGGGGATTCTATGATTTCAAACATCCTCTGCCTCAAAATCAGTTGTGATCTGTGCAAATAAACTCATGTTCAAGCCAATTTGTACTGCCAAGTTGTGCAGAGCACATTGGCCAAAATTAAAAGTGTCTGAGCAAATTCTACAGAGCTGAGGAGAAACCCCGATGTGAAATTCTTTGCATCTGGTCAAAAATGTTTTGCACAGTCAAAAAGTCCTGAAAGGTAAGGGCATTCAGTGTACAAGCACACGATATCACATGGATGTCAACAGCTATATTCTACACTTTTGAATAAAAATTGATGGCTCTATTAGGCTGTTGGCTGGCATTCATGCCAAACTGAATGAACCAATAATGAAGATATTGATTGAATGGATGAATGCCCAGATGACATTCTGGATTATATTTGACAGACTCCAGGGACATCTTAAAATTTGTTAGTGTTGTAAAAGTTCAGAGCTATGGCTGTATTTATTATCAATGATAAAACTAATGTTGTTTGCAGATCTTCATGAAAAAAGTCATGGAAAAACTTTTCTAGAGCCTTCCCTGGCTCTTCATTAAGATTTTTATATGGTCCATGCAGCTTTTAGTGAATTCTTTACGGTAACATAATATGTTGTCGAACACATTCTAACTCTCCTTGCCTCAATATTATACGCTTTTATTCCACCTTTTGTCAAATGACCCATGGAAATCTCATAGCTGTATCTACTGCTATCATGTGGGGATGGAAAAGTCTAACAATTTTGTCACAGGTCCTCAAGCTATCAGGGACAAGATAAGTTCCCTCTCACAACCCAAAAAGAAAACTACAAGGTCTCTCTTCAAAGTCCAGCAATCACTCCTCATCATAGAATCATACAATGCCGAAGAGGCCCTTTGGCCCATCAAGTCTGTACAGCCAAAAATATACTACTACTTGCGCTAATCTCACTTTCCTGCACTTGGCCCACAGCCTTGAATGTTATGGCATTTCAAATGCTCATCCATGTACATCTTAAAGACTGTGAGGCTTCCTCAAGTGCCCTCCCAGGCAGTGCATTCCAGACCCTCACCATCCTCTGGGTGGAAAAGTTCTTCCCTAAATCCTGTCTAAATCTGCTGCCTTTCACTTTAGTTATTTACCCTTCAAATAATAGGCTTTCCATTCACCCTGTCCATGCTCCCCATAATCATATACACCTCTATCAGGTCCCACCCCCTCAGCCTTCTCTACTCCAAAGAAAACAATCCGTGCTTATCCAGCCTCTCTTCTGATAGACAGAAACATTCTGGTAAATCTCCTTTGGACCTCCTCCAGTGCAATCACATCCTTCCTAATGTGAGGCAACCAGAACTGCATACAATATCCTGGCTGTGGCCTAAGCATAGTTCTGTACAGCTCCAAAATGAGCTCCCTGCTCTTATAATCTATGCCACGACTGGTAAAGGCAAAATTCCCTATGCCTTCTTAACTACCCTTTTAACCCGTCCTGTCACCTTCAGGGATCTGTGGACAAGCACCTCAGGATCCCTCTGTTCCTTTGAGCTTCCTAGTATCTAGCCATTCATTGAGTACTTCTTTGTCTTGTTCTTTCTTCCAAAGTGCATCACCTCACACTTATCAATGTTAAATTCCATCTCCCACTGATCTGCCGATCTGATCAATCTGTTCATATTCTCCTGTAACTAAGGCCTTCTTCCTTATTATAACAACTTAGCTAATCTTTGTATCATCCACAAATTTACTTATTATCCTCCCCAACACTCTCATCTACATCATTTATGAATATCACAAACAATAAGGGACCCAGCACTGATCACTGTGGTATGTCACTGCACACTGAGCTCCAGTCACACAAACAGCTTTCTAGCACCACCCTCTGTTCCCTGCCACTAAGCTAATTTTGGATCCATCTTGCCAAGTTACTCTGGATTCCATAAACATTTACCTTCTTTATCAGTTTCCCATGTGGGACCTTATCAAAGGCTTTGCTAAAAAAATCCATAAAAACTACAACAACTGTCCTACCATCATCCAAATACTTTGTCACCTTCTCGAAAAATTCCACCAGATTTTACAGGCATAAATGTTTATCAGGCTGCAAGCTCTAAAATGTAGTATTTCTACCAGTTTCTGCTGTTGCTGGCCAAATATTCACGTATTAACTTATCACTGCCTTACTACATTTGGATACATTGTAAGTTTGGAAACTCCAACACTGTATCTATTGGGAACGTATACTCATGAATTCCCAGCAGCATTGGGAAGTACACATATGGAAGCTTGTAGGCAATCATTGAAATCCCAACAGAACCATCAGAAGGTGGAAAACCAGCAGAAAAGCCCACATCTCAAAAGACATTTCAAAAAATGTCAGTACACCTGAATAATTTCCAGAATTTGATGCAAAGTACATTAAATATACACCAACATTAGTTGAAGACCATTTTGATGTCCCATTGACAAGATTACATAAAAATTATTCTGTATTAATCTCATTTTAAATTACTCATAATTGAAATCTTTGTTTTATTTAGATTTATCTATCCATTTTTTGTCACTAACCTCCTGACCCTTTCTACTTAAATCAGCCTTGGCATTCCTACTTCTCTTAGCCCTATCTCATCAATCTTGCCGATATTTTATTCATTGTCATAGCCAAGCCTCAGTTTAGTTCTATCTATCCATTTAAAGGCCATGTTCATTGCTTTCTCTTCCCCCTCTCTCCCTCACACCACTCCCAACAGCTAATGGCAACTTTTGATCTCCCATCCTTCGTCTGTCTTGGGCCCCAATCTTACTCCCTCCTGTTCACTGATTTTTGAGCACTAATCTGTGTTCCTATTGATTATCCTTCAAAGTAAGTAGATCAACTCCACTAAGCACAAGAACCAACTTCGAATTAATTCTGCTAGTAAGGATGTGGTGCTGGGGGTATATAGAAAGGAGAAGACTAAGAGAAAGAGGAGCTTCCTTGCTATTCATTCAAAATGAAGACCAAATGCAAAAACTGGAAAGCTGCATCAATATTTACTTGAATGTTTTTCCATTTATTCTGGAGTTACGTTTGATGAGGAGACAATATGAAAATACTGAGCGAAGGAGAATCAGGTGTAGAGATTGTCTAAGGCCTGCTCATCTAATTATTCTATCCCATTGCATCTTTGCTCACGGGATGCTGGTGTTGCTGGCTCGGTTAGGATTTATTGCCCATTCCTGATTGTCCAGAGGGCAGTGAAGAATCAACTACACTGCTTTGCCCATGCCAGTCACACGTAAACCAGACCAGGTAAGTAATGCAGATTTCATACCCTAAGGGTACCCTAAAACCAGATGAGCTTTTACAACAATTGACGTTGCTTACACGGTCATCACTGGACTGATTTTTAGCAAATTCACATTTCACCATCTGCCATAGTGGAATTCAAACACATTTCATCAGATGCCAGCCTTGGTTAATACCACCAGGCCATTGCTGCCCGATCGCCTACAAGATCGAGCCAATTGTAGATATTTTCTAATCAACCTGTTCAGGCATCCTGGAGTAGGTGGGATTTAAACCTGGGCTTTCTGGCTCAGAGGTAGGAATATTACATGTGACATGGTGGGGGCAGGCTTTGCATGGGAACATCGCAGGTACAAGTGTGGCTCAGCAAATCAGTATGACAGCCATAATTTTACATCCACTGAAGGTCATCATAACATTTACTTCGTATTTCCACGATTATATGAGTTCTTTCTCATGTTAAGCTAAAAACAGATATTAATGAGCCCGAAATTTCTTCACACTGATAATTGCTACAATAACCTTGTTGTGCACTGCAGGTGGACTAACACAAATGCAGAATGATAGCTCTAGAATAGTGTTGCTCTGATTAGCTGCCAATGGCATGGTTTATTAAGTGAAACCAGATTGCTTTTATAATAATGACTTTTATTGTCTGACTCACCAATTGCTGGCATGTTAGAAATTGCTACAAACTCAGGGCGGTTCACAAGTCTGATGTCAAAAGTTGCCTTCATAGCAGGTTCATCGAAACATGGGAAAACTGACCGGGCATGTGTTGGTTCCAACAAGGATGCGACGACAATTCTGATTGGAGGAAAAACATACAACTTATTATCAGTCTAAAAGAGCAAAAACATGGAAGTAGAGAACCATTCAGATCATACAGTTCTCAACGCACTATTTACAAGTCCTGAAAATCAGTGGGTTAAGATCTTGGAGGGCTCCCCAGAAGAGAGTCAGTGTTTCCAGTATTAACCATATCTAAGAAGAACACCACATTCCCTTGAGATTAGTTGGTACTCAACACCTCTGTAAGCTCTTACGTGAACCTGCTAGCCTGCTAATCTTAAAAGCCATTGGGTGAATGCTGCCTGGCCTATTGTACCTTAGGAAACCAATGAAGGTGACCCACTAAAGTATCTCTAACTGAGAAACACTAGTCCTTTCAGTTCCATTGTCATGCAAGTCCATAGAATCATAGAATCCCTACACTGTGGAAACAGGCCCTTCGGCCCAACAAATCCACACCAGACCTCAGAGCATCCCACTAGACCCCCTATAACCCACCTAATCTACACATCCCTATGGGCAATTTAGCATGGCCATTTCACCTAACCTGCACATCTTTGGACTGCAGGAGGAAACCCACACAGACATGGGGAGAAAGTGCAAACTCCACACAGACAGTCACCCAAGGACTGGAATCGAACCCGGGTCCCTGGCGCTGTGAGGCAGCAGTGCTAACCACTGAGCCACCGTACCACCCTAAACTGAATACTTGGGAGCAAACTGAAGTCCACAAACTGAATACTTGGGAGCATGTCAAATCCTGGCTTCATGAGCAAGTTTCAGAGAGGGATTTTTGCTTTGAACTGTCCAACTGTCCAATCATTTCCCTTTATGTCAGAATTTATACCCAAGAACGTGCGTTCTCTCAGTCTGGTCAATTTCATCAGAATATCAGCCTGTTCAATAGCTTAAGGTTGAGGCTTGAGACCTAGGCAGGACTGCTATAGAAAATTTTTATTTTTGGGATGCGATCAGCTCTTTAGAAAATTTAATCAAGGCTGAAGCTGCTGGTTCCTTATTTTAATACTGACCTTTTACATCCCACAGAGGGTATGAATTGCAAGACCATGATGACAATAGGAGACCTCTTCCAGCAAACTGATTCATTTGACCTCCATTGACTCTTGCTACATCACATTCCAAGAATGATGGACTACCTAATGTTGCAATTATGCTTGTAACACAGTATACTAAATTGATGGACAGGATTCGTGGTGAATTGAAAGTGCCTTTTCCTTATTTGTGCTGGATCTTTAGATTCAAAATAGGTGAATATTTGGAAACAATGTTGAGTTAATGGCAATTGTTAATAGGTGAAAAATGCCACAAGTGATTTGATGGTGAAAGAAACCATTCAGTTATATGTGATAACATTTCCAGATTTTTAAACAAGTAGATTCAAAACGGCAGACACAACACAGTATCTTGCTATCTCTAGATTCAAAACTGCAGCTTTCACTGAAAAATATTCTCTTTTCTATTGGCCTGTCGATAAACAAGGCAGAGACAGTCTTCAAACCAAAAGAAATGTTACAGTTCATAACTATTAGCAAAGATAATGCAGGACACAGGAGACAACTACTGCTCAAAGCCTGAAAAACATCCCTATGTGGACTCAGAGACAGCAAAAACTGCAGATGCTGGAGTCTGAGGCAATACAGGGTGGAGCTGGATGAACACAGCAGGCCAGGCAGCATCAAAAGAACAGGAAAGTTGACGTTTCGGGTTGGGACCCTTCTTCTGCTCCTCCGATGCTGCCTGGCCTGCAGTGTTCCTCCAGCTCTACCCTGGGTGGACTCCCTGCATTTCCTGTGGCAAGCATAAATGAGGGACGCTACATACCCGACTAATTATCTTAAATTGGTTGTTAGTGCAGCTTTTCACTGACTCAGGATTGTTGAGTAAGCTCTGTACAATCAGGAAATCCCATTTAACAGTTGAAATGATGAATAGAGTCCATAAAAGTTACACTGCAGGGCAATAACTGTCCTGATTGCTGTTGTTCGCTGTGTATTGACTAAAGTTGCACTTTTTGGTCCTGAAAAGTACCCAATCTACCTTAAATAGCACTGGAAAGGCAAAGAATCTTAAAAATTGAACTAGTTAAGAAAGGTATTTAATGTTGGTAGTACAAGTTGGTTACATAATGTTGATTAGCTCAATTGGCTAGGTGACTGGTTTGAAATACAGAGTAACCCCAACAATGTGGGTCCAATTCCTACATTGGCTGTGGTTACCAAGGAGGTCCTGTCTTCTCAACCTTTCTGCCCGAAGTGTAGTGACCCTCAAGTTAAATACACCACCAGTCATGTTTCTCTAATGAGAGGGAAAATGTTCTACTTACCAAACAATTGAGTAACGTGGGGTATGAATTTCAGTGCCTGTGTGGTGCTAGGAATGGAGACTAATAATTGGTTCATTGAATCAAATATGTATTATGTTAAAACACTGAGCCCTGGTCTTTGGCTGTAAAAGGAATATGCACATACATTGTTCTTGTTTCAACGGTGGGAGGTAATAGCTTAGTGGTATTATCGCTGGACTGTTAAGCCAGAGACCCAGATAATGTTCTGGGGACCCGGGTTTATGGCAGATGGTGGAATCTGAATTCAATAAAATATCTGGAATTAAGAATCTAATGATGACCATGAATCCATTGTTGATTGTTGGAAAAACCTATCTGGTTCACTAATGTCCTTTAGGGAAGGAAATCTGCCATCCATACCTAGTCTGGCCTACTATGTGATTCCAGACCCACAGCGATGTGGTTGACTCTTAACTGCCCTCTGGGCAATTAGGGATGGGCAATAAATGCTGCCTAGCAGCAACGCCCTCATCCCGTGAATGAATAAGGAAAAGGAAACTGAACAAAATAGGTGATATTAATTCCTCAGTTCATTCTTCAGGGCAATGCCTTGACCAAAGAAATCTGCCTGATTAAATTCAACAGAATTTGGCAGTTAACTGTGAATCATCATCTATCTGGTACATTCTCCATGGCAACACCTCTATCAATAGGAGTCCACTTGCCAACCAATCAGCACATTCTTCTCATACAATCTATAAACCTTTTCCCTTTTACATTAGAGGTAGGTAACTTTTCCCTAGGTTAGGGATTTCAAGACTTGGGGGACCATTCTTAAAGTGAGAGGAGAGATTTAAAAAAGACGAGGGGCAAATATTTTACACAAATGGTGGTTCACGAGCGGAATGAACCTCCTGAGGAAGTGGTGGATGTTAGCGCATTTACAATGTTTAAAAGACATTTGGATAAGTACATGAATAGGAAAGGTTTGGATGGATATGGGCCAGGAGCAGGGAGGTGGGATTAGTTTAGATGGGGTTATATTTGGCATGGACTGCTCGGACTAAAGGGTCAGTTTCTGTGCAGTATGACTCTGTGACTCTAGAGGAACTTGTCTTGAGGAGTACAAGATGAAAAACATCAATAAAATGTGGTGTTTTTCAGCAATAAGCAAAATGCATGTTCTTTATTACTAAGCATCCCTTGATACTATTGGGTATCTATTTTGGAAGAGTCAGTTGCCTGACAGTATGATGAAGTAAACAGCAGGAAAATGAATATTGATTCAGCGTGCATCAATACTCTCACTTGTCAGGAAATTCAATAGGGCTTTCCTTTGAGGAAAGTTATGTTATAACAGTAATAAAATAAAATCAGGAAAATGTTTGTAGGTTTTCAATGCCTCTGTCTCGGTTAGTTCAGACTTTATCAGTTCCTTCATTCAGTGAACTATTTCACCTAGTTACTAAAAATGTCATCAGCACTTGCCTTTTAAACAAACATCTTTTAAATCCTAGATAACAAGGTGTAGAGCTGGATGAACACAGAAGGCCAAGCAGCACAGAGCAGCAAGAATGCTGACGTTTCGGTAAATCCTATCCAAATTAAGCAAATGAAAAACAGGCTTGTTCTTGTAGCAGCAGTTCTTTGCTGCTTTTTAAAAATATGAAATAATTTGTTCAAATTATTGTATTTTTAAATAATCACTCTTTCAAACTGCATTCTTATTATCTATTAATTCACACATATAGATACATGTACAATTGCCACCAGACCTTTTGCTGTGACACACTACATGCACTTTTGCTGTGCGCATGTCCTATATGTAGAAAAGGTGAACTTGCCATAGCCCTACCAGACGATAGGGCTGCTGTCTCTCATTAGAGACAGAGAGAGAGAGAGAGAGAGAGAGATGACTGGTGATGGTCTAACCTGAGGGTCACCGTGCCTCAGCTGAAGAGAGGGATAGAAGAGAATCCTTCATGGTAACCTTAGGCAGTGCAGGGATTGAAACCACTCTATTGATATCACTGCATCAAAAACCAGCAAACAACCCTGCCATTAATGTGGTGATAGTACTTTGGCTTCTTACACAATCTATTACAAGCTTCTTTTTGCTGCAGGCACATGTATTTTCTTTTTAACATTAGTTAGAAGATTCAGAAAAAACTAGAAAACTCTCAGAATTGCCAATGCCTAATAATAGAAGACATTGTACAATATTCTTATGTAAATACAGATAAAGCATCTCAAAATGTAATTAATCCTCGAAGATTAACACAATCATATCCCATTCAACAGCTACTATCACAATGGTCTGACAGACATTAGCTTCACTATCTGGAGAGAATCACAGCCATACTGCATTACTGTGGTTAAAGAGATGGCCACAAATAGCGTCACTCACTTAGCTGAATTCCAGTTCAATGGATCAGACAGTAGCTCAGAAAGAGTGTTGACATTACTAATGTTGGATACTATTCAATTTTGAGTTTACCCACCAACCTTGTTTTTGCTGACCTACATTGGTTCTTGCTAGATCAATGCCTATATTTTAAAGTTATTATTCTTGTTTTTAGCATCCCCACCAACCCCTCGATCTTGGCCTTTCCATTCCGCATCTCTTGCAGTCCTACATCTGTCCAGGATATCTGTTCTCCTATAATTCTGACCTAGTGCACATACTCCTAATCTAAATTACTCCACCATG